GTAGAGGGCAGTGTCACTGGCCCTCATATGTGGGATCCAAACCGGGGCCCTCTGGCATCCCAAGCCAGTTCTTAACCATCGCGCCACTCGGCCAGCCCTCAAAAGTTATTTTGACACACTAGTCTTCAGCTGTCCAGTGCAGTAGCCACTAGCCACATGTGGCTTGAAAGGTGGCTAGTCTAAATTGAGATATGCTGTAAGTTTAAAATATACACCGGATTTCAAGGACTTAGCACAAGAAAAAATGTAAAACATCTTAATAGTTTTTGTATTATATGACAAAACGGTAATACTTTGAATATATTGGGTTAAATGAAATATATTATTGGAATTTCGCCTTTTTGTCTTTACACTTAAACATGGCTACTAGAAAAATTAAAATAGTTTGTGTGGCTTTCATTATATTTCCACTGGACAGTTCATCACTAGACTGTCAGCTCATTGATGGTGATAGGGACTGTGTTATACCAGGGCCTGAAAGGAGTTTATGAATGCTTAATAAATGTTTGTTGAATGCATGACGATCCTTTTTGAAAATGAAGGGAAGGGAAGGTACAGTAATGGTAAATTATTGCCCCAAAGCTGATGCTTTTAAATATCTCGAAGAGGCCCTATAAGAAAAGTTTTCCCTTGTTGAGATTGTCTAGTAGGGAAAAGAAGAAATGAGATAAACAAAAGTGGTCACGTCTTAATTTCCCTTCCCCAAGGTAGGAGCCAGAGGGCAGTATTCTTTAGGAGTTAAGGAGGTACTATTGTTTCTTTGGCCTGTGGGCCAATGTAGGGTTTACACACAAACTGGGCTCAAGCCCAGTACTTGCTAAAGTTCCTTCAAAGTGGTTCAACTCAATTCTTTTTTTTATTTCCTTTAAGGAAGAATAAAGGATTGGGCAAAAAAATGTCATAGAACCTTTACTTCCTACACATGCCTGTGTACTCAGATACTTCAGTCTCTTTGGTCATTTATTGACACTCTTAGGAAAAAAAAAAAAAGGCCAAATGGAGTCACTTGCTAAACCATGTCACCAAACCAAAACTTAATAACCAACCTAATCAAAGTTTCAGCCTCTCAGGAGTGGAATTTTAAGTCAATGAATCGTGGGTTTCCTCTCCTAGAACTGTTGTGTTGGCTGGGAACAGAGTAAAGAGGGCGGTTCCCTCAGCCTTTCTCTTCTCTAGTAGTGAGGCTTGGGCTGACTTTCTTTTCCCTAGAATTATTGCGATGATGAGTCCAGAGGACAGCTGGGTCTCCAAGTGGCAGCGAGTCAGTAAGTATCTCCCTTTATCCTTATCCTGGCCTAGTTGTTTTGTTGCTGCCCAGTGGGGGAAGGGCCTCAGGTAGAAAGATGGGCTTGTAGGAAAGACAAGGAAAGTGTCTGGGTGTTGTCATTTGACATTTGTAGCCAGAAGTGATTCCTCGTCTCTTGGAGTTGTAGCATTTCTTTCATCTTTAGCTTAAAGCCTCCATTTGGTCCTTAGCCTTAATTCACTGTCACTGCAATCTCTTCTCTTTCAGGTAACTTTAAGCCCGGTGTGTATGCGGTGTCAGTCACTGGTCGCCTGCCCCAAGGTAGTAATAATCATAATGCTTATTTATTGTACCAGGCTTTGTGGAAGTTCTTTATGTGAATAATGCCAGTTCTCACAAGTCAGAGCGAACCCAAGCACAGAGTTTAAATAACTTGTCCAAAGTCACCCAGCTAGTAAGTGAGGAGCCAGAATTTTAACGCAGCCATTCTGGCTCTGGAACCCTTGCTTTTGATAACTATACTGTGTCTCTCTTTTTCTTCTCATTCGTACCAAGTCATTGCCAAGCACTTGCCTGGCTCTTCAGTGGTAAAAAGCCACCCAAACAGGACTATCTGATGAACAGCCTAGGACAATTTGCTTAGAGCCCCCCTGTTCCTCAGAGTGGCAGCTGAGGGACCTTTCTTCTTCCTTCACAGAGCTGTTTTGTTTTTCTGTGGCAGGAATAGTGCGGGAGCTGAAAAGTCGAGGAGTGGCCTACAAATCCAGAGACACAGCTATAAAGACCTAGCACGATGCGTCTCTGCCAGCGTTTTTGCCGCCATCTCCTGTTTCTGCTTATTTATTGTTGTGAAACCGAATGGACAGAACTTCAAATACTCCTTACTCTCCAATTCCGAGACCCAGCAGACTGTTAAGAGAGCAGCACGGCATATCCCTGGGCCATTTTACCTTCTTTGGACTACTGGTGGGGGTAGGAGTGGTTTGGGTTAGTGGATTAATAGAGTCTGAATCAGGTGGGGAGTAGGATGCTGGTTTTCCTTCCCACAGCCCTGAGCTGCCCCCTTGTCCGTGGGCAGGACTCATGGTCAGTGTCAAACGCCAATAAACATGAATCCGTCGACCCTGACAGATGTCTTACCTCCTCGTTCCGTTCTCTTACTTGGGCACAGTACCAACTCATTTGCCCTATAAGCACCTTCCCAGAGCAGCAGAGGCCCTTCTGCCCCTGTTACCCATCTCTGAGCCTCCAGTGTTGCTGCCTTTCCAGCATGCTTCCTTGGGTCTCATTGGAAAGTCTGTCCTAAGTCTAGGCAACCCCGTCATCCCAGTAGTCCTAGTGCCTGTTGGCTGCTACCTGCCCTCCAGACCCGGGCACAGCATGTGTCCTCTGAAAACCTGAGACTTCTTTGCCCTTTGACTATGTTAAATACTTTTATTTTTCCTTTCTTGTGTGTTTTGTTTTTACTGCTCTTCCTGTACATCAGGGAGGCGCCCATGACCTCCCCCTCCCGCAGTTATCACGTTCCACGGAATTTCCCTCACTGGAGAGACCCTCAGGTGGCTGCTGGGTCTTGCTCTGGCTAGTTTGTGCCTCCATTGGAAGTGGGCCCCTCCTTCCCTTTCTCCAGCCTAGTGGGGGGCCTTAAATGACAGCATGTTATTGGCCAAGGTGAGTTACATGTTTTGGAATTTAAAATTGACCATAAATTCTCAATTTCTGATATTTCCACAAAAAATCCTCTTAGTATCCCCATTTTGATTTCCCGGTGCTTTGTTCGCCACCTGTAAAACGAGAGGGATTACACTTTGCCTGTTTACCTTGGAATTGTTGTGATTATAAAAAAGCAGCAATGTGAAAATTCTAACAAGTTTTATAAAAGGTAAAACTCATTTGCTCTCCTTTTGTTAGCCATTCTTCCGTGTACACAGTGTGTGCACAATCAATCAAAACAGTGGGGGGAGAGTCCCAGAGCCACCCCTGCAGGGTGAGCTCTGACGCACTAGCAGAGGTGCCTGCACTGGGGCTGTGTGTCTCTCAGCCACCTGGTGTTGCTAGTGAGTCAGCGTCTCCTGTTACCTGTGGCCTGGAGTGTGGAGAGTTGCTGACTCTCCAGGGACCTCCCCCCATTTTCCTTGTCCTGGGAGGCCCATGGGAAGGAAGCTGGGGTTGGCCCAGGCTGCTCGTGTCGCCAGTCAGCAGGTCCTCCTCAAACCAGAACCATTTTCTCCGATGCCTTCAAATTCTGAGGGCATGGTCTGTTAATCCCAGTTCCAACTGAGCTTTTCAAGGATTGTCCCAGCCCAGCAAACTGAAACAGCCCTAGGAGTGATGGTTTCTGTTGTTCGATTTCAATCTGAAAGGAGCTTTGGGAAGCAGCCCCACCAGGCTAGAGCTTACATCCCAGAGGGAAGATGTGGGTTTCAGCAAGAGCACCTAAGCCATGAAGCCAACACCCAACTTTCACTGGCCTTTCTCAAAAAGTCCCTTGGAAATCCCCGGTGGTTGTCCTGCGTGTCTGACCCGGACGTGGCTGCTTGGTGAGAATGGAAACAGTTGTGGGGAGGGGAGGCAAGTGGATCTGTGCACAAATAACCACACGCAGGCTGCCTCAGCCCCGCACTGAGCTGAGGCCTTAACTGTCAGCCTCGCAGGAAGCGAAAGACACAGGCACTGGTGGTGTGGGGGAGGGGCGGCCAGCTGCGTGACCGGATTTCACAGACTGCCAAACGGGCCCTGCCTGGAAGCTGCTTCTGAATTCGCTTTCGCGCTTTCTCTGGTGCTTGAGCTTGCTTGTGGTGTCACTCAGCAGCCCAGATAGGAAATAATGTTCTGGAGTCCCATTCTCTGCTGGGAGCCCAAAGAAGCGGGAACAGGGACTGTCGATTCCTCCGGGCTCCCCGGGAGTGGGCAGTGCTGTGTGGAAGAGGTGTCAGGTGCTAGTACTGCTGTCCTGCATTCTCCGTGCGTGAGGGCCATGCCCTGACTGTTGTGCCTGTCAACGTTTCAGCCACATCCTGACTGCTGAGGTCCCACGTCTGCCCAGGGTTTTGGTCTCTTGCTCTAGCATGGCTTCACTCCAAACAGGCAGGACTCCTCCTTAGCTCAATAAGGACAGACTCAAGTCAGGCACATTAGAAACAGACTAGTGACTGGGCTGCCTTCCCCTTGCCTGCTTATTCCTTATTCTCCGCTCCCTACCCACCACAGGCTGTGGGATTAGGGTGCCTCCCCAAAACTGAGGGCATAAGTGGCAGAGCCTTGCCGAATGCGGCTTCGCCCAACACAGGATTGGTAGCTGATAGAACAACGGTCAGAACACTCTGGTCTTGGGGAGCAGTTTCTCCAGGAGTAATGGGGATGATGGGCTGGTGAGAGGCCAAACTCAAGCTGGTCTCCAGGTTTGGGGACTGAGGCCTCACCCCACTGGGCATGGCCACTACCTTCTCCCTCCCAGCCCGTCTATAACCAGCTATTTAATCCTCAAGTCCACTCCTGACACCTGATCTATGTGTGCATATAAAAGAGACAGGTAATGTTTAAGAACAGACTAATAACATCTTACTTTGTCTGGAAGTCTGGTTCAGGTTTAGTATCAGTAAAACCTTTCATTTAAATAACATTTTACAGTTTACAAAAGGGCTTTCATGTCTAGTATCTTATTTGAGCCTCACAAAACCCCTGTGTCATAGTTAACATCCTTATGTAGTGATGAAGAGACTGAGGCTCAGAGTTAAAGTGACTTGGTTATGATCAAGTAATGGAGCCTTAGCTCAAAACATACATTGCCCACACCCTGCTGCTTTTGACATAGTTAGCCCCAAACGCAGGCTCGCTCTCTCCATGAGTCGTCCACTAAACCAATGTGAGTGAGACATTGGCTTGTTGAGTAAAAGTTACATGTCCCTACACATTCGTTGAGCACCCCCGACCACCCTCCATCTCTAGTCCCCGAGTCTAAAATTAGCCAAAGATAGGAGGCAGTGTGGGGAAATGGCCCAAGGAGGAGAAACCTTGGGATTTACTGAAGATGGCCTGTGCTGAGCACTGGGAAACTGGTCCAGTCCTCCAGTTCCCTACTGGGTGCTTGTTGCACTCCAGCAGCTTGAATCTGCTGGCCTGTGCCGCATCCCCCCTAACCTCTCCTTTTCTCTACTCACCACTTCCCTCCATCTGCAGCCCAACCATGGCACCTTCACACCCCACAAGAACACTGGGACTCATGAAGAAAATAACACATATCCAACTTGGGGCATTGTCCCTGCCTCCCAGCCCTGCTGCCTTCGCCACCCACCAGCCCTGACTTCTCTAAGTCACTTTACTTCTCTAAAATGAAGTTTCTTCTCTATACAGTGCAGTTGATAAAACCCTGGTGTTAGGTGGCAGGACAGTAGTTACCTGTGAAAGGTAGGGGTGGAAGAGGGCACGAGGATGCCCCTAAGGTGCTGGTTACAGTCTCTTTTTAGAGCTGGATGCTGGTTACATAGGCTGATTCACTTTCTGAAAAAGTGTTGCGTTATACACTCATGATTTGTTCACTTTTCTATTTGTTATACTTCATATAAAATTTCACTTACAGAAGCAGTTGGCGGTCCCTGTCTTAGGATAGTTGTGAGAACCCAATGCATTAATTTAGGTGAAAACAATTTGAGAGCTGTAAATGACAAAGTGTATGTAAGGGATTGTCATATTCCAAAGCTGTCACCTCTAGAGAAGTTCTAGGTAAGTGTGGCAAGAACGTCATCCCTCTAGCAACGTTGGTCGATAGATGTGCCAGTACACCTATCGTACATAAGTATATCAAAATTGAAACATTTTCCTTCAAGCACCGTGGCTTTTTATTTTAATCTCTGTTCTTTCATTTTTTTATGACATAAGTATATATATATATATATATATATATATATATATATACACTTCCTTGCTATTTGGATGCTAGATTCTAGATGCGATTTAGCCTCTACTTAGCTCATTGTTATAAACCTCCATTTTATATCATGTGGTGAAATGGTTCTGAGACTGATTGTTTTCTGTCTCTTGGATTCATGTCAGCCTGTCAGCTGTCACTTCTGCTGCTCATGTGTGGCTGTCTCCCTTCCAATCTTGTTTGAGCTAGAAGAACAAACAGCCACGCGCCGTAAGAATTGCTGTAGGGTGAGCCAGTAAGACTTAGACTGAGGACGAAAGCACGTGGCTGCCTGCCTAGGCCTTGGGGCTCAGGGTCCTTCACCAGCGGAGGGAGACGTTCTGAGTGTTGGGGTTGTAGAAAGCGTGAGGCAGATCCTAGAGAGCACGTGAGGTCTGGGAGTCATGACTTAAGCCAGCCCTTCACTTTATGGCTGAGAAGACTGAGTCCCAGAGACAGTGGTCAGCCTGACCTCAAGGTGGGGCCCTGCTACTTTGTTTGTCCCATACTGCCTGGCTCAGTGCCTTTTGCTGTAGATGCTGGTGTTTCTCTTCCCTGTAAGACACCAGGAAGCAGGAACTGAGTGCAGAGAGGACTGCCCCATGCTGCTGGCACCAAGATGCCAGACCCTCTGAGAAATACGATAGAAAACATCTTCCCTCGAAACCTCATCATTCCTGTTCTCAACAAGCCCCTCCCCCAAGTGGAGGGCAGGCATTATGGGGTCATGGACAGAGGATTTGAAGCCCAAGCTTTCCTTGGGGGTCTATCGCGCAGCAGAGGGAGGCCTGGGCCTGAAAGAAGTCAGGGAGCTGGTAGGCCCATTTCAAGAACACCTATGCGCTGCTTCCTGCCCGTGCGCGCTCCTTCGTCCAAAGCGAGCCTTGGTGTTACAGAGAGAATTTGAGGGAAGGGAAAGAACAGCTTCAGACATCAGGGTGCGGGGGACCCCTAAGCTTCTCTCCAAAGTGGATTCCCCATTCCTTATTCCCCACACCCCCACAACTGCCACCCTTTCAACCCCAACTCCCATCCCGGAAAATACCTGGAAGGAAGCGAGTGCTCTGAGGCCACTAGCCGGAAGAGGGGGTTTAACTGTCACCTTGTCCCTGGGGGCTTGAGTAACAGAAGGTAGAGAGGGAAATGCAAATCCATGCTTGGGAGAGAGAAGAACTCCACAGAGAGGAAGAGGGTGGCAGCCATTGCCAGCCTTCCTCCTGGGCTTGTGGTCCCAGCAGGGAAGCCTGAGGCAAGGGAATGATGGCAGGCTCTGGGAGAAGCCAGCAGCTGCCTCCACCCTATGCAGGCAGCTGCGGCACTGGCACTTTCCCTGGGCAGCAAGTAGACTCACTTCCGCAACCCTGCACCCCAGGGGAGCAGGCACATGGGGGCGGGGTCTGGAGCTCGGTGGAGTCGAGAGGAAAGATGAGGTGAAGGAGCTCGTGGTGATGTCCCTGCTGGAGGAGCCTGAGAAGATCAGGTTTATTCTGCTTCCTTAGCAGGTGTGACAAAGCTTAGATTGCAAAGACCCCCCTGGCCTCCACACCTCCCCTTCCTGTTATAGACACCAGAGGCCACAATGGAGAACCACATGGTGTCCTTGCAAAGGGATCTTTCACAGCAACTAGGAGGCAAGAATATGAGTGAGCAGCAGCCCTTGGGTCAGTGCTACTACAATAATAATAATCTGTTACATCAGTACACCAGGTTCAAAACTGGCCGCCTCCATGATTGATTGTACTTGACCCTCAGTACCATCCTGTGAGGCATTATTCCCCTTTCACAGACAGGAAAACTGAGTTTTAGTTATTATCACTTGCCCAAGGGCGATGGCCAGGCAAGGCTACACTGGTGTTTCAGCCCAGCCGCCCTGTGGCCGCCCTTCAGTTCTGCCATGGCAGATGGGGAGCTAGGGGTGAGGGGGGTCCTCCTTGTCTTCCTTTTGCCCCCTTGAGCCCCAGCCTGTAGGTGAGGCTCTTGAGGGTGTGGAACTACCAACCTCAACATCAAGGTCTTTGGGGGATGAAGGCTGCAGCACCTCCCTGTGCTCACTCACCCTTGGAGGGCCTGGGCCCCCTGTCATCCAGCACCCCGCCTCTCACCTCCTCCCAGCTGCTGCCCCACGACATGGCTGCCTGCACCCCATTGGCCTGCCTGGGAGCATTTGCCCTTATTTGGCCAGGCGGCTCCAGGCCAGGCCTCCAACCCCAGCCCTCCCCCCCCCACCCCTCCCGCAGGCTTGTCTCTCTCACTTCGTCTTTTTGAGGTTTGGTTCTGGGGCCCTGGCGGGCGTCGCTTCAAACGCACTTTCTGGTTGAGTCACTTTTTAACGGCTCCAGTGCTGTGTGTGAGCTGCTGCTGCTGCTGCTGGGGCTGCTGGGGCCCCAGCCGTCGTGGCCAACCATCTCCCATCCGACTGCTTAATAGAATCTGAGGGAAGGGACTGGGGTGGCCATTTGCTGTTGGACAGATTCTGCAGACCAGTTGGTTACCCATTTAGACCCCTTTGCTCTCCTGCCCGGACTCACAAGCCCGGGGGCAGGGAAGTCCGTCTGCCCTGAGTTCCAACCACTACTTTTTCTACCCCCCTTCTTGGATTTGTGAGGCGATACAGGCTGTGTGTCCACTGTCTTTAGAGTATCCCTTCTGAGGTGTGCTAGTCCTGGTCCTTCTGGGGACACTTTGAATTAAGTCCTAGAGGGGGACAGAAAACATGCAGACTGTTGGCCAGTTTTCAGGAAGGTGAAATTTAATCTCACTGAATTCCGGCTCCTCATCCTCTGAGATGGGGATACCGTCGCTTACATCAGTGGGTCAGCATGATGATAAAATGAAGTTCAGATGGAATGTGTTTTCTAGATGCCTCAGCTGCTGCCCTCCCCTCTCTCCCAGCTCAGGGTGTGGACTGTGAAGGTGAAGGAAGAAACAGCCCAGAGCTGTTCACGGAGCAGGCCTCACAGGGCTCTCTGTTCTTTCCACCCCTCACCTTCTGCTTCTCCAGCTGTCCCTGGGACGTGAGGAATCCTGAGGGGGCAGGATGCTGGCAGGAGGAAACAGACAAACAGCCCTTTGCCCCTTGTTCCCAGCCTAGATAAGGGGAGGATTCCACTCCAGATCTCTTCCCAGCCTCCTGGCTTCTCTGAGCTAAGGGAGGTCTACCAGTGAGCCAGCTGAGGAAATCCATGGCCTGCCCAGTGACTGGGAGGTCTTGGAACACAGGCCTCGCTGCTGCTTCTTCCGAGGTCCCTGAGCCTGCTTGCTCTGGGGGACTTCCTAGAGTCCAAACAGGTGCTTTGGCCAACCTCCTCCTCAATTTTATAGATGAAGACACAAAGGCGGAGGGTTGGGGGGCTGACTGCATGACTAGCCCAAAGGCACACTGTAAGTAGCTGCAGACTATGGACTAGATCCCTAGTCTCCTGCCCCCCAGTTTTGCCCTCTACTTGGTGGTCCTGATGTTGGGGGTAGGGAGTTAGGGTGATGAGAGATCATAGTGGGTTCCAGGCAGGAATGCCATTTCAACATGCATGTGTGTGCGCGTGCGCGCGCGCACGCGCGCGCGCGCGCACACACACACACACACACACACACACTATTTGTAGCAGTTAAAACCGGAGCAGGGGGGCTGACCGAGTGGCACTTTGGTTAAGAGCTGGCTTGGGACACCAGCTCTGAGCAGCAGGGCTCTGGTTCGGATCCCACATGAGGGCTGGTGACGCTGTGCCCTACAGCTAAGATGCTGAACAACAGCTCAGCCTGGAGCTGGGCTCCCATGAATCACTGGCGACGGCGTAGGCTGCAGCCCCTGCAGCAGTGAGCTGCTGTGAGCTACTGTGAGTAGCTGGCAGCCAGCGTGAGCACTGGCAGCCGGAGTGAGCTGCCAAGAGCTGCTGTAAACAGCTGTCCAATGGCCGGCGAGCGATTGCCTCACCCGGGAAGAGCACAATGATCACAATATCAACATGGGCCAGTGAAGCGACGTCCTCCACTAGACTGAAGAACAAAAGGACAGCAACTTGTTTGTTCCCCTCTCCCAATTCCCCAATAAAATCTTAAAAAAAATAAAAAAACCTGGAGCAGGTGCAGCTCTGAAAATTAACCCGGGGGCCTGTATGTCGAGGGGCCAGAAGCAAGCTGTCTCTTATTTTCCTGCTTGGGTCGCTAGGAGTTCCCCATGGAGGACATTTCTGGTTTTATGGTCACTCCCACAGCAGTGATCAGGGTGGCCTTCTTCTTCACACCCACACCCCCTTTCCTACCAAGCCCATCCTGTCTTCCCAGATGCTGAGGACAAAACCCTGAACTTGGCCCTAACTTGCTTTGTGGCCTCAGGCTGCCTGCTGCCTCACTCTGGGCTTCCTGACAAGCCAGTTTGCTGTCTGACCTTGCTGCTTAAAAAGCCTTGGATACTGTGATCTGGAGAGCTGAGCCAGAATCCTGTTCCAGAGCAAAGCGGGCCTCCCAGGGTGCAGTGCTGCTGCCTCTCACCCGGGTAGAGCAGGAGAGCGTGAAGTTAAACCTGGAGGCTATCTGGGCAGTGCAGACAGGGCTGAGGGGAAAGTGTGCCCACTCTCCTTGCTTTCTCAGCCTTCCTGGTGCTCCCCAAGGCTCTGAGATGAGTCAGGGGACTTTCTTAGGTGCTGAGATGACTGCAGCTCTGCAGGGGACATGGGCTGGCTTGGGTTCTTGAGGCAACTTCCCATTCTCGGCACCTGTTTCCCTTGGGAGCCCCTCGAAGGAGAGTGACAAAAGAGCCCAACATTTGGGACTATTGATTCCAGTTGTCTTTAGCTCCATTTTGCAATGTTAGGTGCTCAGTTTCCCTCCTTCGTGGCTAGGCTTGTCTCCAAGCCTAGCTCCCATGAGGGCAGGCCTGCTCTGCCTTCTGACTTCCTGTTTGTAAGTGGTTAGGTCCTGTGGCTTTTCTCTTGTTGTCTCTTCACAAGGCAGGTTATCTGGCCTACCATCTATGCCTGCCTGCTGAGTGAGGGCCCCGAGCCCATGCAGCTGGAGGGAAAGGCCTGGTTTTCTTCTCTGCCTTCAAGTGCAGGCAATGCCCTCTTCATTTCTCCTACCCTCTGGGCCTGCTCTCCCTTGCAGGTATTAGGCCTTCGAAAGACCATTTTCTCCATGTCTCCTCCTTGCCCAGAAAGCGTCTACTTTCTTTATCTCCTCTTTTTCCAAACCCTCTTCCATCCATACTTACTTCCCCTGGGAAGCCTTCTCTGATGAGCCTCCCACCCCCCGACCCTGACTCTAAAGTTAGCACTGTAGCATCTGTCAGTCCGGCCCCATGGGACATTCAAATCCACCCAGGACTAATTTGGGTTGCAATAATTTTGTAAGATGTGGGTACACGTGGAGGCGTACTCGTATATTTGTTCTATTTTACCGTCAGATTTAACGCCTGCTCAAGTAGGAACCAAGTGTCCCCATTGGACCGGAAGCTTTGCGCCTGCTTTAGGTACAACTGCTAAACCACACCAACACAAAAAACTCCCATACCCTGCATAGATATCTGTGTCTTGCCTATCAGACTGGGAGTCCCTGAAGACAGGTCCTATGTCATTTTCTCCTCAGGCTCACCATTACCTGCCCACAGCCTCAGCTTGGCACACAAATGTACCTGTCCCCTAGGTCAGCAGGGTTGGGGTGGAGTGGGGGATTGTGAGCCTGGAGCCCTCCAGGACCCCAAACCTAGACCCCAGTGGCCTCAGCCCTGTCAGCTGGTGAAGGGTTGTTCCCAGTTTGCTTCTGATGCCCACCGTGTCCCACCCCTATTCCTCATCTTGGTCCCTACTCCTTGTCCCCTTTTGCAACCTCTGAGCAGGAATCTGATCCCTGAACTAAGAGTGTTGGAACTAGAAAGGATTATGGAGAACGTTTTATAGCCCAGGAAAAATGAGCTAAGGCTGCCCAGTGAGTGTCTGGTTGAGCCTAGACCTACCGTCAAGGAGTGGAGTTTGAAAAATCAAAGGGGACTCTTCTCTCCACAAAGAGAGGCATCTTCTCTCAACCACCTCCTCTCTCAGCCACTGGCCATCATCAAGAGTTCAGTTTCTCTCATCCTGGGGGACGCAAGCCACAGGTGGCTTTGAAGCAGGAGTGGGAGTCATGCATCTCTCAGAACAGCGCCTGTGTTCTGAAGCCATCCCCAACTTCCTCCAGGCACCCTCCCAAATACTGGCCTCAGATTCCCAAGCGAACCTTCTGGGAGGAGGCAGGTGTGTCCAGGAGTGTATACAAACCTTCCTCAAGGCGTATCTGTAGGCCTTGGCTGGGGTGCCACCCACAGTGTGTCTGGGTGGC